ACACACACACACACATACACACACACACACACACATACAAACAAACACACAATCTACGGTGTTGTTACGAAACATAGTACTCAAAATAAGACAGAGCTCTACTCACGTGTGGGCGCTTCCATTCAAACGGCCTTGGTGGGGTCCTGCTGAAGAAAATAGAAGAATCCACACAAGGAAATTCCGGATCCTCGAAAAGCGATCCTTCCTGCAGGCACCTCTGACGGATGTCGGAGGACTTCTGGAGCTTGATCCCAGTAAATGGGTTCTTCTTCAGGGATCTTGTAGAACGCCCAGGCAACTTGGGGGTGGGGTCCGAGTCGGCGAGACTGGACACACGGCGTCCTCCACTTCCTCCACGGCTACCTCCTCCTCTATTAGCAGGCTCAGGGCGGCCCCCTCCTCCGCCAATGTACTGGTTATGCCCTCCATCTCTCTGACCTCCTCCACCTCCTCCGCCAATGTTGAACTTCATCTGACGACCCCCAAAGGTATCGCCTAATCCGATGTTCATCTGACCACCGAAGTCGCTCAGATTACTCAAGTTGCTGAAGTTTCCAAAATCACCGAAGTCCGAGTTTGGGGTGAAGCCAATGTTGCTTCCGCCTGGACCTCCGAAAGAAATAGTTTTGGTTTGAACCTTGGGAGGTCCATTGCCATCAGACACGTAGGTCCGAACAGTCCGGGTCTTGTAGTAGTTAGACATGGCTGTCTACCACCTTCGTGCTTGGAATGCCTGCTAGCTTCCAGAAACTCGACTGCCGGGAATCAAAACCACCGCGATCTTCGATCGACCAAAACAAATCCGTGCACTCTGAAATTAGAATAATACCTGCCGGTGGCCTCGCCCTTGCTTGATTGCTTTTGTTTCTTTCTCTTTTGTTCTTCTCGGAGCGAAGAAGGGCTGAAACACGAAACCCGATTAGAGACCAAACCCACACTGCACACAGTGTACTGACCCACAGCTATCCAGTGGCAGGAGGCGAGGTGAGAAGGAGCTGAGAGGATCCCCGAAGTCGAGGAAAAGGAGTCCGGAACCAGAGTCTACCTTTGCACTCTGGCGTTTTGCTACGCGAGTTGCCGATTGAGTGAGCGAGTGTGTGTGTGGTGAGTGGTGAGCCGAGCCGCACCGGCGAGGGGAGCGCAAAGGGAAAGCTATTCCTGCTCACAGACCAAAGTGGGTTGTACTCATTTAGTTGTTGTAGGGGGGATCAGCGTGATAATTATTATTCTGGTTGACTCGGTGAGAGTACTGAGAGACAGGGGAAAGAAGAAGGAGAATTGAGAAAACGTCTACTACCGACATGATGAATGATTAGCAGCTTACTTGACAAGAGAATCAAAGTGCTTTTTGCCTCGTCCAACTGATTGATGAGTATACTCCAGTCCCTGTAGATACACCCTCACTTCTTTTTTACTTTGCACCCGCCCCCTCCCCCAGCACGCACACCGCCGTTTTGATAGAAATACATATTCAACCGACCAAACAATTAAACAAACAAACGAATACACACACAACTCTCTCTTTCTCTCTCTCTCTCTCTCTCTCTCTCTCTCTCTCTCTCTCTCTC